CTCAGAAAATTTGGAGCAGCTTTTGAGGACAGATCCTAAAGCATTTGTTTTAAGCTTTATAACGAAAATGGACAATCAAGGCTGACGATAATAATATCAGTATGATAATGAATGGAGAATGAAAATGGACAATTGAGATTGATAAGGACTGGGTTTTTTGTGGTTGCAACTTGTTATTGATGAAGATTTGAATATCTATTGTGTTTATGGTGGATGGAATTTGTTATAGTGTTTTTTGTGGGTGGAATTTGTTATAAACTGTCTACTTTGGATGGAATCTGATAAGATTTAAATGAGTATAAAGGTGTCTTGTTTCCTTTTTTCCTTCTTTAAGTTTTAAGTAATGTATAAATTTGTGTTTTGGGGGAGTTTATGAAAATGATAATAATATTTATGATATTAGAAGGATTGGAGTATATTACAATGTGTTTAGTGTTTGGGTGGGGTTTTTAATGTTTAAAGTTTTAAGTAATGTTCAGATTTGTGTTTTTGATTGATTATAATTTGTTTGTTCTAATGTTTCAAGTTCTGATTGTTTAAATTTGTGTTTTGGAGGGACTATAACTTGTTTAACTAAATGTATTTAGATTTGTTTATGATTTATGCTAGACTTTATATTGTAGTTATAGATGTTTAAAGAAAGTAGTGTTTAAAATTGGTCTTGGAAGAAATTTATGTAGAAGGATGGATAATATTATAAGTAAGATTAGAAGATTTTTAGAGTATATTATAATGTGTCTATTATTATTTTCTAGAAATAATTCATTTAATTTAAGGTATTTAGGATTGTTTAGGATTTATAGGTGTTTTAAGTTTTATATGTATTTTAAGTTTTTTTTCTTTTTTTTCTTTTGAAATATTTTGGATAAGCCTGTAATCAACTCTGGGAGGTTCAGGGGAGGGTTAGGGAGGTTTGGGGCTGGGGGAGGGTATGGGTGGGTGGGCGGGTTTGGGGAGGGGATTTATTTTGTAAAATGTTAAAAATTTTCAATAAAAAAAAAAAAAAGAAATTAGAACACTTTTTGCCTAGCAGATAAATAATTAAGGAGCTATTTTATAAATGCATTTCCATTTGTTAATACTTAAAAGAACAAGCCTGTACTAATTAACTATAACTCAAAAGATTATTTCTAGCACTTTGTAAAGCTGCATTATAAATCACTGGAAAAATAGATTTCACTGCAAGAGCATTTTATTATCATTCTATCTATTTTTAAACATTTTCTACATGCATTTAATTTTTAATCAGCAGCCACATTTAAAACAAATTTTATTTTTTTACCATGGTTCTTAAGCAAGATAAATAAGGTCAAACAAATCACAACACTGTTCAAATAAAACTATTTCAAATCATGCTTTCAGAAGTTAATAATTGTGAAGTATTCATCATAGTTTTAAAAAGTGAATGAAAGTAAATAGAAGTGGAGGATTTTAACATAACAACTACTTTAATTGAGTAGCATTAATGCTTAAATCACACTGCTCAGAAAGAATTCTCCATGTATTTATAATGATTTACAACCAGATAAACATATAGAGTAATATTTTCATATGGCTGTCCAGGGGGACATAAATTATGGCAAACATTCTCTTCCCTAGCAACAAATTTGCTATGGGAAAAATTAACTTAGAAGATCCCTCAACTTTTTCAGCCTAGAATTGTACATCCACTTATAATTGGTACATGACACCCAACAAATTATTTAGAATGAGTGAACACATTTAAATGTAAGTTGGAAATGTGAACAATATTTTTTACATGTACATTCTTGGTGGACATATAAAAAAGCTAAACGTGTTGAATTCAAATATATAGTTTGAAACAGATGATTTTAAAGATCAATATTCAGTTGAAACCAGAATTTTTCCTTCTAGGATTAATGAATAAACAGAAAAAAGACAGGAAAGCTTTTTTTCAGTATATGATTACTTCACCAAGATTAGTATATACACAGAGGTGGAAAGATTCAATACTACCCACTATGGATGATTGGTTGGTTAAATTGAGAGATTTTACTGACATGGATAAATTGACTTATTTGATTGGAGGAAAAAAATCTACATTTATTGGTAAATGAAAGCTTCTTACAGATTTTTTGCATAAAAATGAAAAATGAACTTGTAATTTATTATGATTAGGCTGGATAGATTACAGAAAGAAGGATAATATGATGTAATTCTAGAGATTGAGATTAAAATGTATTTGTATTTACAACTTCATTGAGGACTAGTAGAAGCCACTTTATATCTTTTTTCTTTCATTTCTATTTTTCCTTAATCTTTTTTTACTTTTCTTGCACTTTTGCTGCTTTTTGATTTATTTCTTCTTTTTCCTTGTTTTATATTGGTTTGTATTAGCTTTTAACTTCATGTTTAAAATTTTTAATAAAATTGCTCAGAGATGCATATACTGTGTTTCCCCAAAAGTAAGACCTAACCCGAAAATAAGCCTTAGTTTGATTTTTGGGAGTGGGCCTTATATAAGCCCTACCCCCAAAAGCCCTAGTTTTGGGGTGAGGCACACACCTAAAAATCAAGCTAGGTGGGGGTGGGGGGGTGGAGCTGCCCCATGCACCCTGCATCCACTTACCTTGCAGCCAAGCCTCTCCTTGCCAGCCCACTTCTTCTGCGGCATCCCCAGGCCTGCATTTCGCCTTTCCAGAAGGCCAATGTAGCCAAGAACCAAGCTCTGCATTGAATCCATAGCTCTGTTCTCAGCTGCAGTGACCTTCCAGAAAGGCCTCTGACTGTGAAATGCAGGCCGGAGCTCCATTCTCAGCTGCAAAATGAAGTCCTTCGACCCCAGAAGAAGTGGGCCGGCTGGGTGGGGCTGTCGGTGCAGGAGGTGAGTGGAAAACACCCCCCCCCCGAAAATAAGACCTGGTGCCTCTTTGGAGGCAAAAATAAAATAAAATAAAATAAGACTAGGTCTTATTTTTGGGGAAACACAGGTACAAGCACACATATTTAAAAAGTTTTATCAAAGGTATCTTCCTTTTCCCTGTCTATCACAACCTCTTCATTAAGGTTTCCACTCCCTTCATTAGGATTGCTGTATGCAGTATACTCTGCTTACTTAGAATTCTGTATTTTGATTAATTGCTTTGTTATTTCTAGATGTAGCAAAATATATCTTAATCATTTTGAAAAGTATGACAAGTAAATCTTAAAGAGATAGATCTAGTTTATAGTGGTTCATTCATAAAAATTAAATAGGATGACGATTGTTACATCATGATGTTGTATGAAGATCAGGTGGCAGCCATGGCCAGGAAGCTCTTCTCCAAGTTCATCTTGTGTGCCATTTGTACCTCTTCTTCAACTTTAAGACCCTTCGGTTCTTTATTCACATCTTGCATCTGGACTATTGCAATGCACTCTATATGAGATTGACCATCTGAAAGCTAAATCTGGTTAAAATGCAGTGGCACAAACAGTAACAAGAATTCTCAATGACACCATGTATCATTATTGCTATAGGAGCTACATTGGCTACCAATTGACTTTTGAGTGAAGTTCAAAGTGCTGGTCATCACCTATAAAAACATGTTATACAGACTGGTTATGTGTGAGGCCACTTGTTTCAAATTTTTCTATCTGCCCATTATGTTCAGGCAGTTACTCTGCTGTATCTATTGTAAGTGAGGTGTTTTCTATTAATAAAGGAGAATATTTGTAGCTCAGGACTGAAATGGGGGATTCTTGGTGCTCTCTGACCTTGGTTGTTTTCTTACAGATGTTTCATTACCCAAACAAGTCATCATCAATGCTAGTCCTTTTGTACACTCACTGAAATAAGCACAGTGCAATCTTGATTTCTTTTAGGAAGACTTTGTCAGCCAAGAATATATTTATGTATTGTTATGGGCAGCTAAACATTATTTGACAGGCTGAAAGCTTGAAACTCTGATCAAGATTCTTGACAAATCAGATTTGACACAGATCTCTGGGCTTTGCTCAAAGTATTTATTTTAAAACTCTACATAATTTAAGCCAAATTATTGCAAGAACACTTACTTCTGTATAATTCATCTCACACTTTTGGTCCTCAATGAAGTCAAATCCTGAAGGTTCTGATACAAATCTGCTTAACATCAAAACATTTGTTCCCATTCTATGGAATAAATTGTCATTGGAGTTTCGAACCTTATAATAGTTCAAAATGGGCCCTAAATCTTTTTATTTTTGGCATTCTTCAAATTTTAAAGCCTTAATATTTTTGGCATTGAGTTTTAATGTTCCCTTAGAATTTTTAATGGATTTAGCATTGTAAATGTTTATCTACATTCTTGTAAGCCATCCAGAACTCTTGCAACAATCAGAAATAAACATAGCTTTATTAATAAACATAGAGATTTATTAATAGTAAATTAATAGTTATTCTTTTCCATCATAACAAAAACTGAGAAATGAGTAGTCCTAGTTTATCCTGACACAGTAGCAGAGACATGTTCTACCTACCCTCTGTGGGAAGAAAAAATGATAATAGGTAAGCTCTATCAGCTTAGCCTGCTTGGTCTTCTCACCTACTTTAGACATTACGCAATGAGGTCATTCAGTTGTGGTCATCATGTATTTAATGTAGTTTATTTAAAAAGTAAATCTGCCTTTTCATAGACCAATCTGAATCTTCTCATAGCTCCTTCCTATCCTGTCAAGGCTGCTTAGCAGTTTCACAAAAAGTACAAAAATTGACTTTTAAATTTTCACTTACACAGATAATAGTTTGAGGAGAGAATTTTATTCAGGGTGTTCCCACTCTAGAAATTACATATCATCTGTTCCTTCCATATTATTCTATATTTATTCTTTTCCTTTGGCTACATTTTAAGATTTTTTTAAAAAACACTACACTTGAGAGTTGGCACTCCAACATAACATATAGATTGTCTTCATCTTCAGGATAATTATCAGTGATACAGAACTATAATTTGTGTGTTTTGTCTCATAACTATATTAGAAATACAATATTGTTGTGATTTCTATATGTTCCTTTGAAGAATACCACCAAATGTAAGAGATATCGTCTACTGCACAGGAGTTTCACTGATGGATGAAGATGTATGGGAATTCATCTGGATGAAATTCCACTCAACTACAGCAGTATCAGAGAAGAAAATATTATTAGAAGCCTTAACTTGTAGTGATGACAGAAATTTGTTAAACAGGTATGCTCATTTAATCTATATTTCCTGGTTTTTTTTTCAAACTCAGTCTTGTATCAGTAAAAGTAATAACATTTGTGGTCTGAGTATTGTCCCAAATATTAAATATTTTTTTGCTTATGTATGTCCTTTTTAAAGTTTTTCTTCTTACTTATTTTCTTCTGAAAATCAGATCTATGAGAATGTTTTTAATACTGTATGTGCTTAGCATTTATTCCAATTCATTTGTTTATATTAACTTGAAAATTACTTCAGAAAAATATAACCCCTGAGTAGTATTCATGAAGCCTACAATAAATTAATTTTATTTTTTAGCAAATATCTGCTGAGTGTAGATTTAGCTTTATTTTCTCTATTTTACAAACATATATTGAAAGTGCAACACTGACTTTCAGTTAGAATCTGTCAGGGATCCCAAGATGTTGAATGGCATGAAGCTGAGATATTTATGTTAGTAAAAGCTAAACATTTTTCCTTTTCTCCTATTATTCAAGGCTTCTTAACCTGTCTCTTAATTCAGAAGTTGTCCTGGATCAGGATGCAATTGATGTCATAATCCATGTAGCTAGAAATCCACATGGAAGAGATCTTGCTTGGAAATTTTTTAAAGAAAAGTGGAAAATACTGAATGCAAGGTAAAATGTTTTAATAAACTGTATGCTTCATCTTCCATATATTTAAACTTTACAATACCAATAATTTAAGGGCGTACATAGTTAAATAGCCATAAAAACTGAAAAAAAGGCTGCTTGTGTGTGTACTGTATTTCAAGAGTCATTTGCTTCTTTGTTGCTGTAAATGTTTAGATAAAACACCATGTAACTATCTTTAATAATGGCCTTGATCTAACTTCCTGCAGTTTTACTCATGCATGGGATACTAATTTCACCTTGCCTGAAATCTAGATTTCCTTATTTTTTCTGATGCAATATATAGAATTAAATTTTAATTTGAATAAAAATATAACTATTTTTACTCCATTAATGTGGCTTCAGTGCAATATGATTGATACTGATCGTAGACCACAGGATGTAATATTTCCAGAGATTATGGAATATCTGTAACTGGTTGCATGACTATAATAGTAGTATTGTTTATAATATATGATTTCAAAATCATTGCCACTTAGAATGCTCTGTATTTATATTTTAATATGGTGATGAAGATACGGAGAAGCATTATTTATGAATTCAAAACTGATAAGTGGAGTCACAGAATTTCTTAATACAGAGAGTGAACTAAATGAGGTAAATATTATGCAAGCTCAGTACTTGCAGCTATTTTTTTACTCTTTTTCACTTTCTTCAATGTGTGCTACCTAAAAAAAATCCAAGCTTATTCATTTTTCCTATAACATGTATGTATTTCAGCTTTTATAAATGATGTGTCACCTGAATGCTGCATTCACATTTAAGGAAAAGACAATCTTTTTTATGTTGAGAAAGAAAGAGAAAGTGACAATCATATTTTATGACATTTTAACTAAGTTCAATGTAAACCTACAATTTATAGTATAATGTGAATTTAAAATATTAAATCCAAGAACGTTATTGTCTTTATAGTGCTTGAACAGCCCCTCCAACGTGTAAATGAACTCTAATTATTTTATGATAAAATGTTTAAAAAGTTAATCAACCCTAATTAATCCCAATTTAATATATTTTACCATATTTAATAAAGAAAAACTCTTCAGGGAAGAATGTAAATTTTGTAGCTTAATGTGAGCTAAAATTACATTAGATGTATTTCTAATTTTTCTATGGTTAGATATCTATGTAAGAATAAAATGTGATAAGGGCCTGGCTGTCTACACCATAAAGCAGATATCCGCAACCTGTCCAGCTTTGCGGACCAGTGGGAGGGGGGAGAGGATGGTTCCACATGAATGCTGGGCAAGCACGTGTGCAGCTCCATTTGTGTGAGCAGCGGGCATGCATGCCTGCTGCTTGTGCAAATGGAGCATGCGCGTGGGGCATGCAGCCACCACTTCTGCGGTCTGGTTCTGAAAAGCTCAAGGCCTGATAGTGGACTGCAGTCTGGGGTTTGGGGACCTCTGCCATAAAGCACCTGGATTACAAGAGAGATAGAGGAAGTGATGTTAATATAAGCAGGCATTGAGACATTTCAGACAGTTGCAGTTTGTTGCTTTATTATATTTTTCAATCTGCAAAATATTGCAAGAACTTCAGTAGCAAACATAGAACTTTTGTCCTTACTTGGAAATTATATAAACTTCATTTTTTTCTTCAGTTCTATCTTAATTAACCATTACATTCTATTTCCAGCTAAAGAAATTTGTAAAGAATTATGAGGAGAAATCTGCTGCCTCTTTCTCTCGAGCTGTGGAAACAGTGGAAGCGAATGTCCAGTGGCAGATGATTTACAAAGAAGAATTATTTCAGTGGCTGAGAAAAACACTTGCACACTAATCTGTATTTCTGGCAAAGACCTGGCACAAGTTTTGCAACAGGAGGAGCACAGTGGGAACTTTCAGAAAATTGACTAGAAATCCGGCAAAGACAAGTTCAAATTGGAAGGACAATTAAATAGAGATATATTATATTTTTGCACCAAATTCCTCAGAACTGTTAAATGATTAGGGGCCAAAATAAAAATATTGACAAAGAGGAATGGTCATGAATCCTATCCCTACTACTCCATGGCCAAGTGTGATATTAAGTGGTGCATGTAAATGTTAATGTCAGTTTTGTTGGAGAAAACCCCTGAGAATAATTGTGCATGGTTTTATGGTTCCTGCCTGTATTTCAGCATGCTTACTTCAGATGTCCATGTTTTGTATGTGAATTTCTGTTGCATCAAAGATGGGCATTATGCAAAAGCACAAAGACTCTTATGACAATCAGTGATGTAACAACAAGGTAGAATGGAAAGAAAGAAGTTAAAGATACAAATGAACAATTGATAACATCTCCCCTTTCCATGGTGCTGGCCAGTTCAATCAACATTTAAATTCTGTTTAAGTTACTCTTTCAATGATTATCCTTTTTTGAGTTGTAAACAGTAATATAAACTACAATCCAAAGATTCCTCTTTTTAAATCATGAATACGCATGTATTTAGAGGCAGAATATTTTCACAGTAAATTATAATTTAAAAAATAATTTTATCCACTGCTCATCATCTATTGATAGATTTGCCTTCATAAGCTAGTTTACAACAGCTAGTTTGTATATTTGGTGGATGGGGGTAGAGAAAAAAAATCAGTCTTTTGCATTATATCTTTTCAGCAAAAATATTCAGTACATGTTATACTATTCTTTGATAGTTGCATATATGATAGAAAAATAAAGTGAGAGAAAACAGAACAAAACCAGGGAAAAACTGGAAAATTATGTGAATTAAAAGGTTTTCCTAGGTAATGTTTAAATTTTAAGGAACACCAGTCCCCCCCCCATCCTTGTCAGTGTGAGCATCTTGTTTCTTCACATTTGAGCAATTGTTAAAGCTCAAAGTTGAAAAATAATCCTTTGCTTCTATTTCACTTAAAAAAAATTAGCTAAGACATTTTCTAATGCAATTCAAAGGCATCAATACGATTATTAAAAATTATTCCTATTTAACATAAAACATTATTTGAGAGTAGAATGCATTCCATCAGGTTTTTTTCCTCATTTAGAATATCTATAAAGATTTATCAAATAACAACCTTGCTGGAATGCAGCACTTCTTATAATTTATCATATTCTTCATCACAGGGAAGCGATATTCTTCAGTATCTTTTAATGGAAGAAAATAACAAATTAATGACTATAACCTACAACTTAGAAGTTTTTTCTGCTTTTTGTTATGTTTAGTTGTTTATGATCTTTGTGCTCCAACCCTAACATGGAGTAACATGGAATGAATACACACACACACACACACACACACACACACACACACACACACACACACCATATGTGGAAGTAAACCAGTAAATGAAACAATTACATTCTTTATTGGACAGTTCCTAGTGGCAGGGGGAAAAAAATCAAATTTACAGGATTTTCTATAAATGTCCATGAAAAATTGCCTATAGTGAATATAAATTATTTTGTTATATTAAATCTTTAAGTTGTAGTTCTGCAACATTTCACTTTGCATTTAGTTTATCATCAAGTAAATACTAAGTTAAATATATAAGCTTTTAGTTTACCATATTCTTCATGCTCCAACAGCTCTTTAGGGCTTTATACAAACAAGAATTAAAATAGATATTTCATTTTTGCTGTTTTATGATGCTAACGAGCTGCTCATAGATACACTAAAGCCATACAACTTTTCATCTTGTCAGAAGGTATTAGGAGCAAGTTCCTGAGAGTAAAAACAGTTAAGCAATGGAACAGTCTGTCTTTTAAAATTGTGGTCTCCCAGCCTTCTATCAAGGATGATTAGCAGATTCTTGAAATGAATGAGGATTAGAATAGAAGACTTGTCAGTTCCCATCCAATTTATACATTCTATGATGAAAAGAATCAAAGCATTTAACACATAGCAGGTTATTTGGATTAGTTTCAAAGATTATTTAAGAAGATTTGTCTCAATTTCGCAGAAACTTGTTCTTATAATGTCTTCATTCTAAAATCCAAGAAGAGAAACCACAAAACTACAGTGGGAAAGAAGAAAACTTTTTTTTTTCTTTTTGAAGGAAAATAAGTGGTATAGGGCCAATGTAAGATAAAGAGTTTATTATGGGGGACAAAGTTTTATAGTGTGAAAGCTATTTAATGATGCCTCCTAAGATTAGTTAATGTAGCCTACAAACCACCATGCTTTTAGGACACTTCATTGTGAAATAATGTTTTGATATCCTTTACAGTAAATCTAGGCCAAATCTAAAGTGTTGCTTTGCAGATGCATTTGGTAATTTCTTGCTATTAGAAGGAACCATGATTATGAAAAAGATAATATACTATCAAATGTTAGGTGCACAATAGCTAAGTTTAAATTCTTAAAATATTCTGAGTTTTTTACAATTCTTGCTAGTTGGGCTGGGGTGAGGGGAGTGTTGTTTTAATCGTCTCTTTATAAAAGTTAGTTATTGCAAGCATCTGACTTTTCCACTGAGAATGAAAAAATGTTAGAAGTATTTATTCAGATGCCTGTGTCTGATTTGCTGTTTGCTTTTATTCTATTTTAAGTATTCCATTGTTCTTATTTTTAGAAAGTAAACATTTTCAGGTTTAAATACTATTAATTTAATATTTAAATCTATGCCTGAAATGTACTTTAAACCTTCTGTTTTCCTAAGTGCACAAAATAGTAAAAAATAAAAAAGTAGTTTCAAAAATCAGGAAAAAATGAAATAATCAAATAACAAATCTGAACTTGAATTTTATTTGATTTATTAATTGAGGTGTACCCTAAATACTCTCAATGGGCTCTTTAACAACAAGCATTCCACTGTATGTTTCCTTAAAGTATTATATTGGTATTTCTTGTCAGATTTCTTAATACTTAAAATGGATACAGAATACCATTATCCAAATGTTCCTAAATTAAACTATGCAGTAACTATTTTTGTACTATTCATTGCCATGGAATAGATGTAAAGCACAATTTAAAACATGCAAGACTTCATTTATGTTGGTTTGCGATAGTCCATTTTCCCCCCAACTTGGTGCCTTCCAAATTAGTTGGGCTTCAACCTGCTATGGATTGTTAGTGTTGAAATACAAGCCCTCTGGAGGTCATTCAACTGGGAAAGGCTAGTAGATTGCTTGAATTATAAGTCTATAAAATGATAACATTGCTGTTCCTGTATTTCAGAGAACATTCACATTTGAGAGTATGATTTGATTTCTTTCTTACATGGTCTCAGAGGTCTCCTTCAGAGAACCAGGTAGCTAGCAAGCCTTCATGTCTTGCTTTACAGTACCAATCCTCCACTGTGTTACACATTCTCAGTGCATAATGGTTATATTGTATTTATAAGTCATAGCAAGTGTGGTGCTCTACTGCCCCTCTATTATGCTTAGTGACTTATCACAAATCCATATTTTGCTAATTCAGATCACCAATGAGCATATAATTTGCCTACTATTTTAATATGTTTTAAGTTTTGATATTTCACTTACATGTGGGTAAAGGCAGGCGATATTTTAAAAATTATGTTGTACTCAATAAAGTTTCAGACATAAGTATAATACTTCATGCTATTAAAACCTAGAATATAATAGAATGCAGTATTAGCAATAAGAGCAACTTGATGAAGTCTCTTCATACATTAAACTGGAAATGTTGTGTCATTATACCATTTTTTCATCTTATACGTTCAACTAGAGATAGCCATTTCATTTGAAAATAGATTTTATTTGTATGGTTGCTTTTCTATATTTGTTCCCTTCACTGTGGGTGGAAAATGTTTGGCTTCTCTCTATATATTCTGAAGAAATACCTCTATTAAGTACCAGTTCAAATTAAAACACTATGTAATTCTGTTTGGGACAAAGTTCATATTTAAAAAATATACATGATAAAAGGATTCATATTTTTATGAAGCCTAATCTCAATTCTCTCATTAAGATAACTGATTTATACTTGTTATATTTAGAAAATTCTTATTTTAAATCTGTTTTCCATCACAACTTTACTTAGATGGCCCTCATTAAGCCATCAACTAACCTATCTTTACCACATTCAAAAAACTGAATGATGAAAAAATTATGTAAAATTAAGTAGATACTGAAGCAGAGCAGATATATACATATTCAAAGAGAGAGAGAGACAGAGAGAGAGAGATGCAAATGCTGTTTTTCATTATAATCCATCATAATAGAATCTGAAAAAAAACTCATATTCTGGTCAATATTGGAAAAAAAGAATAGGATGACTTGATGTGACCATTAAGACAGATCTTCTCCAGCATGATCTCTCCCCAGCCTGGGCTTCAGACCTCTCAACACTACATTCATTGCTGGTATGATCAAGTGTATCTTGTTGTTGATTGTCATCTTTCCTTCCACCTTTCTCATCATTTTGGGCCCTCAGGGAGCTGGGTTTTTGTTATAAAATATGTTAATTTAAGCCTGGTTATTTGGGCTTCAAGTGGGAATTCTTGGTTTGTTTTTTTGATCTTTGTTTTCTTGGCTGTCAATGTTAAAAGTGTTTCCTCCAACAACAAAGTTCAAAAGTGTCAATACTCTTTCCATTTTGATTCTTCAAAGTCCAAATTTCGCTTTCATTAGATATCACAGGAAAATCATTGCCTGCATGATTCTGCATTTTTCTAGGTAGGGACATGTCCCTGTACCTGAACATTTTTTCCAGGTTCTTCATTGCTTTCTTACCAGTTGCTAGTCTCTGAGATATTTCTCAACTGCTGTTTTTTTTTTTTTTTTTTACTATTGATAGTTGATCAATAATGAAGATATTCATCACTTCAATGTTTTCATTGTCAACTTTAATGTTGGTTGCTCTAATTTTTGTCATTGGTTTGATCTTCATTTCATCACAGTTGCATTTTTACTATACTTCTTGACTTTTATTACTAGTGCTTACATTTTCATTTTCACTTTCAACTATCAGGGTACTTGGTGCTTGATATTTTTCCTCCAGTTTTAAATCACACTGATATTCTTCCAATCTAGCTTTCCTTGGTAAATATTAGCATATATCTTGAATAAATGAATGAGTGCATAGCCTTGTTTCACCCCTTTGCCAACTTGGGGTTAATCAGTTTTATCATGTTACATCTTACTGTGGTTTCCTTTTCTTTGTATGTGTTTTGCATAACAACAATGACATGTTCTGGGATTTCCATTTTCCTAAGATCATTCCACTGTTTGACATGTATATAATGAATGACACTCATACTGATATAGTTTTGCTATTCTTTATCTTTCTCAATTATCTACCATGCTTTAACAATAATATGTCTTCTTGGCCTTTTTTAAAACCACCTTGCATATCTAGGAAATGACTTGTAGGGTACTTTGGCTGTTCCTCACATTTGATTGGATGATTGACTGCAATGGATTGAAGTAATGACTTTGCTATTTCCTTCCTAACTACAAAAGGCATGCTATTCTTTCTGTTTTTCATATCCTAGTTATAAATAGCTTGATCTTCTAACTGAAAGTATACAATTCCAGTCCATTTCATTTTACTGATATGGAAAGTATATCAATGAATCATTAACATTTCTCGTTTTTTACTGTGTTGAGCCATGTTCGTGTTTCTTAGATTCCACATTCCCATTATAATTTTGTCTTTGCAGTTTCAAATGTTCTTTTTCTGCATGGCTGAATCAGCTACTAGATATCAAGTATGCTTTATAATCTAGTTGCATGATAAATACCATTACTACTCTGAAACGTACTCAGCTCTTCCTTAAATGCACATTGAGTGCCATCCAACCTGAATGGCCCATAATCCAGCTCTATATTGCCAATCACTTATTTTATCTATCTATCTATTTGTGTAATTTGCTTGGTAAACAGCAGCACTGTTTTATCCAATGCAATATGAAATGATACCTTTGTCACATCCACCTCCAGTCTTTTCCTATGCCAGTGCTGTTCAATACAGGTACCTGCTTGCTTTATTTGGGCAGCTGGGATGACCTTCATGTCTTGGGTGACTCTGCTCAATTACATACTCTTTTGTTTTCCCTTCCAGGAACATAAACAGACACACACAAGCACATGAAATGATGAGGCAACATAGCAGAACTTGGGGAAGAAATAAACATTACTACTGCCAGTAACAATCCATTCTGTATATTCCACATAACAATACTGACTAAATTTCATATAAAATATACTTTTGGTGTATCCTTATCAGCAAATATTTGAGTGGACAATAGCATCACAGCAATATGGAATCCAAAACTCTGCACATGAGATTTACTTTTTTTCTTTTTGTATATTTTTATTCATAATCATACTTATCAACAGCAATTGGGACCAGCAATAATATTGCTAAGTAAGATAGTCATAAAGTAAAACATCACATGACCACCAATTTACATTAGTTCTGGCTGCAGTTGTTAAGCTTATCAGTCATGGTCTTTGGACATGATGTAATGTGACCATGACTTGCAACTTTCTGGTTGCTTCCCCATTGATTTTGTTGGAAACCAGCCTGGAAGATTACAAATCGTGATCTCAAGATCATGGGACACTGCAACCATGGTAAATGCACACTGGTTATCTAGCACATGAATTGCAATCATGTGATTGTGATGATGCCACAATGGCTACAACTTTGAGGACCAGTTGTAATTCTCCTTTTCCAGCACCACAGTCAACCATTATGGAAGCCATATTATTCATATATCTGATTTTCTGACCACCATGAGTAAGATTTAGATTGAGATGGTCTACATGGGGCAGCAACATTAAGGAATTGATAATAAAATATATTGTATCTAAAAAATATGAAGGCCACAATAAAAAGAAGTACTTTAAATAAATGGGCTTAATAATAGAGCTGGTAATTCTGTACATATTTGAATTGCAATATATTTTAATGGTTTGTTATTTTGTTTTGCATACATTTATAAAATATATGTGGTTTATCTAAGAAGTTTCATTCAGATGAATACTAATTAGATAACTATGCAGTAATGAGAATTTTCCTCAGTACTAAACATATTAAAAGTCTTATAGTATTAAGAAATGTTGCATGTTCAGAATAGTTCAGATTATACTTATATAGATGCTCTGTTTCAGAAATTCTGGTGTGTGATTCAGAACCGTCTGCAAATGGGAGATGCTAAAAATAAGTCTAACAAAGATCCAGTGTGTCTAAGGCATTTTTATTCCAGACCCTAGTAAATATATATTTTCATCTGAGTTGCTTTGTTTAAGCATCACTCGTTTCTTTTTCTTTTTATTTGTCTTGTGATTCTGCCTAATAAGTCTCTGCAGTTCTTTGCAAACATCATGGCTAATAGAGATTGTCATCAAACAATTATTCAAGGTTCTTGTTAAAGAAACCTCTTGTTTAAAACCATCCTTGTTTAAAACCATCCAATGTCAATTATATTTTGATAAATACTGCAGAAGATACATACATAGTATAAATATTCTAATGGCAGCGTATGTTTAAATGTTGTGCTGATTTAGCATAATTTTAGTTGTTGAATATGATCTACAAGAAATGATCTATTTTCAGGTCCAAAGGCATATCTGCAGGTTTATTGTTTAATAGATTAGGGCTTTCTTATTTCTCAAGACTACATATTTCTTTTTAAATCACTTGATGTTCATTTACTTCTTTAGTATTCTTAACTCAGGATAAGAATAAATACATTTGTAGTTAATATTACTGGGAAAAGGTTCAGCAAGCAATTCAAAGCATTGACCAAATAAAATATGAGTTTGTATTACTGTTTACTGCAAATATTTTTCTATGATATGCCTTTAAACCTATTTCATAAATATTGAACCAGTATGTATTTTTATTCCATACTAATCAAGGATTTACTATTTTTTTCCTAAATGAGAAAATACTCTCTGTATTTTAACTAAAATCTGAATTTTGTCTCTAATAATAAAATTTTGTACAGTACGCCATTGTCTTAATTTTCTGATATATTGAGACAAATCCATTATAAATACTACCCCCAGTTTGTTTCATTTTTATTAAAAATAATACTGTGATAACTCCTAATGAATGCACCATAAAAAAAACTTTAAAAAACAGAGTGGGGTACTTCTTTTGATATTAGATTTTTCTGTGATAAATTATATTAATTTGTATTCCAGGGGTTTTTTAGATGTTCTTAATATTAAGCACACATCTACCTACTCACTTATAGTCACATAAAATTAAAGCCCTTCCAACTAAATAGATACTTTCTTAATTGAAAAAAAAGTATTGAAGATCTGTGATGAACTGGAAAATAAAGGCTTCAGGAAACAATATCTTTCCAATCCCAAATCTTTTTTATGAATTGTTCTGTTGGCCTATCTTATTATTATAAAATCTTTCAAGCTGTAAGTCTAAACATACTTTGTTGTGTCCTAAGCCTGCAAAAGCAGGCTCGGGACGTTGCATTGGTCCCGGGCATTCCAAAAGCTGCCCAGGACCAGACAGAGCGGCGCTAGCCTTGTGCACATGCGCAAGGCGCGAAAATGCTCTGTTCCTATTGGTTGACATTGTCAGGGTTTCTGGCCATATAAAAAGGCCTGCGTGCTTTTTGTTTGCTTGGTTGTTGCAGAAGGTGAATAAAGCGTTCGTTCAGCATCGTCATGTGTCTTCATCATTCACACGTGAACGAAGTATACAACACTGGCAATGAAGGTGGGACCCTTTGCAAGCTAAAGAAAAAGCTTTAAGGACTTACCTAGGAAGTCCTGAAGAGGGGAAGACAGCGTCTGAATCAGCCTGCCAGTATAGCATCACTGGAGGGTGAGCTCGGCTAAAGGACCCTTTCCCCAACAGCAGTTTGCAGAGGAGCGAGTGGTGAAGGTTCTAAACTGTAGGATGTCGAAGATTGGCCGCTTGTCTGATTTTGATGTCTCACACCCAGAGAGATGGAATTACTACATAGCACAGATGGATAATTACTTCAGAGTAAATCAGATTAGAGAAGATGGCCTGAAGGCTGCAACTCTTTTGTGTGCCTGTGGACAGGAAGCTTTTGACATCACAGAGAATCTGGTGGCCCCTGCACCTCTGGAGTCAGTAACATATGCTGACTTGAAGAAAATGTTGAAGGAACACTTCCAGCCAAGGTTATCTGTTATTGCTTGGAGGCATGCGTTCGAGCAGAGAGACCAGAGACCAGGTGAATCTGCTGCGGATTTTATTGCAGCCTTAAGGCAAGCAGCCAGACCTTGTGAGTTCAAGGATCTGGAAGAGAGGCTGTGAGATCGCTTTGTATGCATTTTGAGGAGTAAAGACTTACAGCAGAAGATTTTTGCAAAAGAAGATGTCTCTTTCCAAGACACGCTATGAGAGGTGGCAGCTGAGGAAGCAGCAGGTGGGGCTGTGAAGACATTACGGCTCACCAGGAACCCTCCAGAAACAGCTACCATCCATCAAGAGGATGCTTGAGAAGGATTGGAAGCGGATCCTGAAGAAGAGGTGGATAGACTTCACCAGCCAGGTGAAAGGAGGCAGAAGGAACGTCTGGACAAGTCCCCAGCATCTCTTCAATGCTTCGGGTGTGGAGGACGCCACAAGCGAGCTGACTGCAGGTTCTGCTCTGCCATTTGCAGAGCGTATGGCAGGCAAGGCCACATAGCATCTGTCTGTTTGGGTCACCAGAAGGTCCAACCTCATGAAGAATTGTGTCTGAAAGGTACCAGGGTCCCCAGCCAATATAGGGTGGGTTTCTGTGCATCGCGCAGGAGTATTTTGATGTCAGGGACACACAAGCCCCTTAAGAAGAAACTTTCCATTAACGTAAGGTTGCAAGGGGTTCCCTTATCAATGGAGTTGGACACTGGGTCTGCTCTCTCCATTATTTCAATTAACACATTCAAAAGGATATGCAGCAGCATTGGCCTTCAAATTAAACTCAGGCCATCGAATCTAATTCTTACAGATTTTCAGAATTCTATCGTGTGTGTTAAGGGGGAGACCACCCTTAGAGTACAGCATAAGGATTTTGAAGGTCCCTTAGATGTGGTGGTTGTTGGGGGTGAACGTACGAGTCTTATTGGACTCGATTGGTTCAAGGCTCTGGGAATCCAGGTAACTGGGCTGCACCATTTGCAAACATTGAGCCTTGCAGAAGTCTGCAAGGAGTTTGCAGATGTGTTTAGTTCAGAGCTCGGATCCTACAAGGGGCCTCCAATTTCGCTATGGTTAGACCCAACCATCACGCCCATCGGGGTTAAGCCTAGGAGGGTACCTTTTGCCCTCAAAGGCAAGATTGATTCTGAGCTGGACAAATTGCTCCAGCAAGGCATTCTAGAACCTGTGGACTCAAGTCCATGGGAAACCCCCATAGTAACGCCTCTAAAGGCTAATGGGGACATACGCATATGTGCTGACTACAAGTGTACACTGAATAAGGCGCTGCAACAGCACACTTATCCAGTGCCTGTGTTAAGTCACATTCTGGCCTCCCTCAAGGGGGGGACTCATTTTTGCGAAGCTTGACCTGGCACAGGCCTATCAACAGCTACCTGTTGATGAGGCAGCTGCAGAGACCCAGACAATTGTAACTCACAGGGGGGGCCTTCAAGGTCAAGAGATTGCAATTTGGGATAAATGTAGCCCCTGGCATATTCCAAAGTGTCATGGAGAGCATACTTCGAGGTATTCCTGGGGTCTGTCCCTACTTTGATGATGTCCTCATTGCTGGGGAGTCATCTCAAAATTTAGCAGAAAAATTAAGGGCTGTCTTGCTTCGTTTTCGAAAAGTAGGCCTTAAACTAAAGAAGGATAAATGTAAGATAGGAGTCACTTCTACTGACTTCTTAGGATTCAGGATAGATGCTCAAGGCATTCACCTTGCTGAAACTAAATTGCAAGCTATCCAGCAGGCCCCAAGCCCTAAGTCTAAGAGTAAACTGCATGCCTTCTTGGGGCTATTAAATTTTTACCATGCATTTCTCCCACATAAAGCTGCAGTGGCAGAGCCATTACACAGGCTCTTAGACAAGTAGGCTCCTTGGCAGTGGACTAAAGTCCATGATAAGAGCTTCAATGAGGTTAAGGCCTTGCTCACTTCTCATGCTGTTTTAGCGCATTTCAATGAGCAACTGCCTGTTTGCATCACATGTGATGCATCTCCTTATGGGGTGGGAGCTGTACTTAGCCATCTGAAGGCTGATGGGACACAGATCCCTGTGACCTATTATTCCAGGACTCTGTCTTCTGCAAAGCGAAATTACGCTCAAATTGACAGAGAAGCCTTGGCCATAGTGGCTGGCATTAAGAAATTTCATGATTTCTTATATGGCTGCCATTTCACAGTCTATACTGACCATAAGTCTCTGCTTGGTTTGTTTACCACTAACAAGCAGACCCCACATATCATTTTTCCTCATATGCTGAGATAGTCCATTTTCTAGTCAGTATATGATTCTACATTAGTTCACAAACCAGGAAAAGAAATGGGTCATGCAGATGGCCTGAGCAGATTACCCCTGAACCAATTAGAGCCAGATCCTGCTCCAGCCATTAATATTCTGTCCATTCAAGAGTTGCCTGAGTCTCCCCTCAATGCTAGGGATGTGGCTGCAGAAACTGCCACTGATCACATGCTTACACGTGTGCTGACATGGATGTTGTCAGGATGGCCTGACAAGTGCCCAGATACTGAATTCCAAAGCTTCTGGCACAAGAAGCATGAGTTTTCCACTTTCAAGGGTTGCCTGATATGGGGTAGCAGAGTAGTAATCCCAGCCTCATTGAGGTCTAGAATCTTGATATCTCTGCATGAGGAACATCCTGGTATAGTCAGGATGAAAGCACTTGCACGCAGCCATCTTTGGTGGCCTGGGCTCGATAAAGCCATCGAGGCCCAGGTGCATAGGTGCCAAGTGTGCCAACAGTCTCGGCCTGAAATGCCTCAGGCCCCAATACATAGATGGGAGGAAACTCAAACCCCATGGTCTAGGGTGCATATAGATTATGCTGTGCCCTTTCAGGGGCAATTCTTCCTGGTTGTTGTTGATAGCCATTCCAAGTGGCTAGAGGTTGTTCCTGTTTCCTTCACTACTACTGCCAGGACCATCCAGGTGTTGAGAGGAATTTTTGCATCACACGGTCTTCCAGATGTGCTGGTTTCAGATAATGGCCCTCAATTTACGTCTGCTGAGTTCCAGGCTTTTTTTCAGGCCAACCTGATCCGGCATGCACCATCAGCTCCTTTCCATCCATCCTCCAATGGACTGGAAGAAAGAATGATGCACACCACCAAAGATGCCGTAAAGAAACTGACTTACGGTAACTGGCATCACAGGTTAGCAGATTTCCTCCTTGCACATCGCACCACACCATGTACAGCCACAGGGAAGAGCCCAGCTGAACTCCGCTGGGGTCGCCGCCTCATCACTAAACTGGACAGGTTGCACCCTGACCGGGTGGCTTCACAGGTGTCACAACCGCGGGCACCTAGGAGACTACAGGTGGGCGATCCGGTTTGGGCAAGAAACTATGAGCCTGGTCATCTCTGGGTCACAGCTGTGGTCTGCAAGGTCTCTGGGCCGTTGTCATACAAAGTGGCCTTGGGGGACGGCCGCGTTCTTTGCAGACACATAGACCAACTGCGTTGGAGACTGGACTCTCACCCTTCAGCTCCTGGCTCCGCTCGGGGGGGGGGAGGAGGACCATAATATGCATTCTGGGTCACAGTTTCCCAGGCCCAACAGGCCATCACTAGCTGCTACTGAGGCTATTTGGGATTCATCCCAAGGTTCTGCAAGTGCTCCTAACAGGAATTCACTGGATAGGGGGTCATCCCACACATCCATAATTACTCCAGAGAGGGAGTCACACTGAGGGTATCCATGTCAGATAGTGCTCCAGACATGGAGACTGACTGGGGGTATCCACACAAATCACAAGCAGCAAAAGAAAAATAATTCCATCAGGGGCGCTTGCCAAATTCTGCAATTGCTCCCAAAAGGAGGGCACCAGCAAAGGGGGTTGCCATGGAAGCGACTCCTGACTCTGGCACCTCAGGCACTTGCTTGGGGGCCACAGAGTACTGGGGCACTTCCGCTACCCAGCCCTCTACATCTGCTAGCCTTGGGCTTGAGGACCAGTGTTCCCAAGAGGGGTCAATTGTGGACTTGGGAACTTCCACCCCTCCAAGGTATGCTGGCTTGGACTTAGAGGGTCCAGCCAGCCAGCAGCTGGGCGAGTCAACCGGGTATTTGGGGCAGCAAAGTTCTGTCATGCCTAGCCTGGT